GAGATAACAGCCCCCTTTCCCTCACAGAATTGTAGCACCAACCACAAACATCATGATAAATCCAGGCTGTGGTATCACTGAAGCAGCAAGGTCCTGGTCATGTTATAGCCAGAGGAAGACAGTGTACTTACCTCTATCTAATTTACTTGATTGCATATCATTAATAAAGGTATACAGTCATACAACAAATATTTTTTGAGTGCCTACTAAATGCTAGGCACTGTGCTAGGTGTGAGGTTGAATAAAACAGTCATGGACTCTGTCCTCATGGGGCTTTGCAGTGGTGAGCTAAAGACGGCTCCTACTAGCTCGTTGAAAGCCTGCTTTTAAATTTTCTGGAACTTCGTGAGCTTCATGATTGGCAATGGTGAGAGTACTTATCTATGAGAATTGGCTAACACTACAAATGAGGGATTTCTTTCTCGTTGTTTTTTTCTCTTCCTCAATCTTCTTACTTAAATAGGGAGCTGGTTGTTGAACACCTAGCAGCACAGCACTGGGATTACAGAGCTGCTCCTGAACTCTGTCCCACTTCCTTGCCTCTTTACCCCCATGCTAGGGCCCCAATACAGCTTGCTTTTTGAAATGTTGAAGACATCAAATTATTATAGGTGACATATGTTACAAGTTGTTGGCCATACAAAGAAATCCAAAGTGAAACTTTAGAAAAAACTTTGTAATGTTAAAAAAATGTATTAGCTATTTATTTAGCTATTAAAATGGAAATAACAATAGCATCTCCTCCATAGAGTTGTTGTGGAGATTAAATGGGCTAATATGTGTAGAGCATGTTAGTACAGAAGTGCCTGGCACAGAGTAGCATGGAGTAAGCATCCTACAGGTAAGGTCCATGCTGTTCTCAGGATGCATGGGTTAGATACATTTTCTTTGTGGTGCTGATTGTGTGGAAGGTAAGTAGGAAACTTTAGCCACATCGCTCAGCTCCATGCGATAAGCTAAAATGATATCTTTAATTAAAAAAATCCTCAAAGGATTTTAGATCTGAGATCTTAAGTGCTGGAAGAAAGGCAGAACGTTATGTCCTTAGAGCCAGGTGAAGTGCTGTACTGGCTTCTTTTCGTCATCTGACAATATTAAGGCTTGTAATGAGAAACCTTACTATTTTTCCTCTTTGTTCTCTCCTTAGCTTTCCAAGATGAGTTAGGGCACTCTGAGTATGCCACACCCTGGCTCCCTTATTCTATCAGAAGACCACAGCAGAGAGAAGGAGCCCATATGGCCTCTGATGGGCTACTAATTCTGGGATTTTGAAATCTAAAGTCTTGTCTCAGGCAGAATTCCCCAATTTGTGCAAAGATAAAGAATGCATTTTATGCCTTGTTCTGCTAGCCTTTTAAAATATACTAGAATGATATTTTAGAATGTTTTTTTCTCTCCCCACTGAAGATAATTTTTTTACGTACAGATCCTATATGTATTTTGTTAGAATTATGCTTCCATTACCTCCTCCTCCTCCACCTTCTCTTCTTCCTTCTCCTCCTCTTCTTGTTCTTTTTCTTCTTCTTCTTGGTGGTATTGTAAATGGTATTATTTCTTAATGTCAAATTCAAGTTTTTCATTGCTGGTGTGTAGGAAAGTAATGAATTTTGTTTATTGATTTTATATCTTGCAACTTTTCTAAACCTGCTTAGTAGTTCCAAGAATTTTTTTTGATTCTTTGGAGTTTTGTAACATAATTTTTTTAACAATCATGTCATCTGTGACTAAAGACAGTTTTATTTCTCCTTTATAAATTGTGCACATTTTATTTCTTTTTCTTGTCTTATTGTATTAGCTAGGAACGTGACTAGGAGTGAAAGAGGATATCTTTGTTTTGTTACTGATCTTAGAGGGGAAAGCTTGTTGTCTCTCACCATTAACTATGTTTGCTTTGCAGTTTTTTTGTGTATGCCTCTTTTCAGATTAAGAAAGTTCCCTTATAGTTCTTATATTTTTGAGACTCACAGAATGTAAATGGTTTGTTTAATTCTCATCTATCAGGAGATTTTTATTTTTTTTTTTGAGACAGAGTCTTGCTTTGTTGCCCAGGCTAGAGTGAGTGCCGTGGCGTCAGCCTAGCTCACAGCAACCTCAAACTCCTGGGCTCAAGCAATCCTGCTGCCTCAGCCTCCCGAGTAGCTGGGACTACAGTCATGCGCCACCACACCCAGCTAATTTTTTCTATATATATTAGTTGCCCAATTAATTTCTTTCTCTTTATAGTAGAGACGGGGTCTCGCTCTTGCTCAGGCTGGTTTCGAACTCCTGACCTCGAGCAATCCGCCCGCCTTGGCCTCCCAGAGTGCTAGGATTACAGGCGTGAGCCACCTCGCTTGGCCTTATCAAGAGATTTGATTTATGATCATTCCAGTCAGGGCCAGGATAGTTTGGAAATGGTCGAGGGAAAGAAGAATATTCTACCCTTGCATCCTACAGTGACTAGTCCCTGAGTCAGCTCTCTGCTGCCTCCAGCCTTCACCCTTGTCATAAAACCAGGTGATCTCCAGCAGCTGCACTCAGGGAAGAGGCAGCATGAGGTGGAGTGATGAATTCACTTTTAAATCTGAAGAACTGCCACTTCTTATCTGTGTCACCTTGGATGAATCATAAAACATCATTTCTAAAATCAGGACCATAATTACCTTATAGAACTGTGAAGATAGGTTGAAATGATAATAATTCTAAAGTACTCTACAAATTTATCTTTTAGATGATAAGTTATCAGAGAGCAGGATCCATGTCAGTTCATTTTTGTATCCCTTAACTAATCTGGGGCACAGTAAATGCTTAATATGTATCTAATTATTATGTTCTTACATATATTTGTCCCCCTGAGATCTCACTGCTTGCCCATTGGCTGTGTGTGTGTGGTACTACACAGTGAGTGCCACTGCATGGGTTATCAGAGTCAGGCTCTATGACCTTACTCAAGTCACCAAGGCTCCCTAATAAACAACAGGACTTCGAATGACTAAGTGAGATGACCCAACGGGAGCTCTCTGCAGAATATTGTCGCATAGTAAAGGCTCAATAAATACTAGCTGTTATTTTTATTTAGGTAGGATCTTGATTAGGGAACTAAAGAACTGGAAAAGGAATGCTTTGGGGTTTTTGGTTTATTTGTTTGTGGTTGGTTTTTGGTGTCTCCTTGAGGAAACTTTCTTGTTTGTTCGTGATTGATAACAGAGGGCAAAAATGAGGAGAAAATGTGGCCCAAGGTTGACAGTTGGCCAGTATTTCCATTTGTGCAGATTCACGTTTTCCTCTTTTTCCGGTGTCATCTAGTCCACTAGGTGACACTGTTTACTCATCTATGCTACTCCATTTAGGACTTTCCACAAATCTTAATTCAAAAGTAGTATGTTTTGTTTGAGGCGGTGGTGAGGGGGAAAGCATGTTGAGAAAGAAAATATAAATGAATGCCAGTGGCTAAGCTTTGAGGTACAATTAGGGGCCAATTGTCACCTATGCTTATGTGACTCTATGGGCTAGTTTCAAACTATTTTTTTTAAACTGACTTTAAGAGCAACATGCAATTAGTTTCCATTTCTAAGACATGAAGGAAAATATGGACTGCTGCCCCTCCCAAGCCTTCACCAAACCAAAGGATAAAATAAAATGTGTGGCCTTGAATGTGGAGTTGAGTAAATGCTGTCGAATGTCTATATTTCCCCTTTACTCTTTAATGGCAGTTAATGAGGGCACAGACCAATAATAAGCAGTGGAAGCAGCTTCTAGGCTAAGCTTAAATTGGGCCTTCAAATCTAATCAAAATTAGTCACTGCTGAGAGGAAACCAAACGCAGTGTGTTCATTTGGATGTGGAGCCTGGAGAGGCCCTCCTTGTTTTCCAGGTCAGTTACGCCTCCGTTTCTGCGTCGCTGTATTGCCGCGACTCGCGGGAAGCTGGCGCTTATCTGGGCACCACCCAGCCGAAACTTTTGATGATTCCAAAATGATATATATAACTTTTGGGTAGTAAAAAATCAAAATGAATTTCTTCTATTGTGTTTTCAGACTGTGAGGCCACAGGAAGCATGTCATTTCAAACCAAAGGATCAAGAAACCAAAGATTTTATTCATTTATCTTGGAGTTTGGGGTCTGTCATTTCTATTTATCATAACCTCCTCACTGTCTATTATAACTTTAAAGTTGACCTATTTATGCTGCTTCTGTTTATAAGATTATATATGTGTGTGTGTGTGTGTGTGTGTGTGTGTGTATATATATATATATATATATATTTTTTGGTCCTTGGAGGTAACACAACCAAAATTCTCTAACAAATATTTCCAAGTTCAGAATTTCCTTGCCTCCCTTGCTAATGAGCTCCAATTTTCCTTGCTTTTTTGTGTGTCTACTAGCACGCACCACCTTGAGTTGGTGTGTAATAAACAGCTAAATATAGTCAGTTTTGGCAGCTAACTTTTGGATGACTGTCACAAGGCTCCCTAAAACTGGAATTAAGCAGATTTAAAATGAACAGGCAAACTCTTGTGCTTGAGAAGAGAGGATGTTTTTATATGTTGTGAGCAGTAGTTACCACCAATGTCTTCTATGTATTTATGGCCTGCTTTATTTAAGTAACAGTAATAACTTTAAACATTGTTAGCTGAGGCACTGTTAAATACTCTGCACCCCTCTCTGAAATGGGAACTCTTCTAGAAAACTCTTTATGTGAAACCAACACTGTGTAACCAACAGTTGCAGTGAAGAGGTTTGGGGAGCAGACCAGATAACAGTAGCCTCTGTTTGCTATGCACAGAATGGTGGTGGCTGAAACATGCATTTTGTTGCTTGATTCCGTGTAGAGCACCCATGACATCTGGGATTTGCTCACTTGCATCTACAGCTTGTATGGTCCCCTCAGGAAGAAATGAGAGAAAGAGGAGAGAGAAAGGGAGCAGGGGGAGGAGGGGAACAGAGAGAAATTCAGGTCTGGTTCCAGTACATTTGCATTCTAGCTGTCTGGGGCATTCTCCCAAGTAGCGAATGCTAATTATACTGAGTGTGTCAAATTGTGTCGTGTTTTGTAAATCAAACAAATGTTCCCAGGAGGAAGGCGGAGGCCACCAAACCCATTTCATTTATGATGCAACCTGAATTTAAAGCCAGGACTCTCGAGGGGCAACTGTGAGTTTATTTAATTTTATAACATGTGCCTTGCACCTTCAGTACTAGCTTGACATAAGGACTGCAGGCTTTAATATAATGCTTTTATTTAAACGGTTAATATGCTTCGTACGAGAGAGGGCTATAGTACTTTTAAGGAATGGTGAGGATAAACAAACTGTTTTGAGGGACAAGAGTTGTAGGGCTTTTGTTGGGGGAAAGGAGAACAGATTCTAATGTATGGATGTGTTCCTTTCATGAAAACCCCCCACAGATCTTTATAACACTCTAGCCCGAATCTGTGTCCTAAGTATTGGTGAAAATGTAATAGTGTTGTTTCCAAGAGGAAGACTTTGTATGTTGCATTTGAGCACTGTAAGCCATCAACGATACTGTCTGAGCTTTGAGAAGAAAGTAAGTTTCTCTTTTTGTTGCCAGATCCATCTTCCTAAAGCACCTCTGAGAACATTCTTCCCTTGCTTTTCAAATCTTGGGTAAAGTTTTGCCCTTGTTCACTAAGCTTTGTGGAGGCAGAGCATCCCCGGCAGGGTGCTCACTGCTGCCCTGTACCTCACACACAGACCAGATGGGACGCTGCCACTTATCCATGACATGGATTTGTCTCACTCAGCTTTTGCTGAGGCCTGTCCTTTCCAGTTCCTGAGAGACCCTCAGGCACTCTCCTCCCCCAAATCCATCTCTTACCGTTGGAATCCTGCTTGCCACTAAAGAAGCAGTTTAAATATCGTCTTCTTCAAGACGTGCTCCCTGTTTCTTCTCCGTCTTTAGTCAGAAATAATTTTTGCTTTTTCTTTACTTTGTACCTTTTTAAAATAGCACACCAATATTGCTTTGTTTGATAGGTACTTTTGTGTGCCGTATCTTTCCTACTAATACAAGACTAAACAGCCTCCGAGGGGGGATTAGATAATCTGTATCTGCGTCAGACTTGCACAGCATCATGTACAGAATATGTGGTTGCAAATAGTTTTTGAGTAAATAAATGACATAAAGCACACACATGTCATGGACTAATTTCAGTAGTTGTATGTAAGGGGTGATGGTAAAAAATAACAGTGTCAAAAAATAAAGTAATTAGGAGTATATTTCTTTATATAGGTTTTGCTTCAATGATCTTTTTCAAGCATTTACATTCTTTCAGATATGCTAGACACACAGTGGGTGCTCAGTCAACCAGCTCATAGCTGGTTTGAATAGCTGGCTGAATGCAATATTACAAAAAGTGAGGTTGCACAGTGAGGCAGAGAGTTTTTATTTTTATTTTTTAAGAATTAATACATGCCATATACTATACAAAGCATGTTACCAATATCACAAGAATGAATGCAGACAGTTTTAAATGACAGTTTTGAAGTTACGAACTGGAGAACAGTTTTTGCAGGTTTACACACAAACCAGAAAGCTTAAAAGGCAAAATGAATTATTTCCATTCTTGATGCACATGGACCCATGGACTGTTGACAGTAAAGGATGAGAAACATTTAAATGTAATGTGAACTAATACTTGTTGAGCACATATTGTATGCAAGGCACTCTGCTCATCAGTTTCAATGCATTCCTTCATTTGGTATCCTGGTAATTATATTTTCATTTATTACAAATAATAAAATTGAATCTTAGAAAGGTAAAAAAGTTGCACAGAGAGACATAGCTGGTAAGTGGCAGAACCAGGATTTGAACCCAGGTTGACTAACTCTAGTGTATATATCATACTGCCTCTTTGTGTAAAGTTATGTCCTTCCAGAAGAGAACATAGTATAGTGTCCCTTGGACAGTGTTAGAAATGGAAGTTCTAATTGAGCCCAAACCTTTTCTTCTTAGTGCCACATTTTACAGATGAAAGAATTGAGGCCTAGAGAACTTAAGTGACTTAACCAGAATCACAGAGCTAGTAAGATCTGATTAGACCATAGGCATCTGGACTTCCAGTCTAGGAGGCTCCCATGAGAAGATGGTGTATTATCACACAGATTTGGGATATACATGAATCTAGCCACCTTCCCTTAGGCATAACCCCTATTTGCAATGAAAACCAGAGGCAGCTTAGCTGACTGTAGGATGGTAGTAATGCTGTCGGCTTTATAGAGGGGTGCGACTGCCTCTTTGTTCACTCATTGGCTAATCCAGTAGTACTCATCTCAGTCTGGCATCTGTGTGACTTATTTACACTGATCTTTCTGAATCTCTGACCAAGCCAACCAAGGGTGCTGAAGTTGGCCATTAGTGTCTCAGAGACTGAGACAGCTCCTCTTCTGTGGCTGACTTTGTCCTATATGACAAGCTTGGGGTGAAGAGCTGGCCTGGGTATTGGTTGAGCATGTACTTGCCTGTGGTGCTATTTGGAGACTTCTGGTCTACCTGGAGACCACAGATGTCTCTAAAATGTTCACAATGATGTATCTCATAGGGTTAAAACATTTCCTTAGTTAAGGATGCCGAGATTGTAGAAACAAAACAAAGTAAACGAACAGCAACAGCAACAACAAAACAAGGCATTTAGCACCAGAAAGCTGGAGGACCAGGCCGCAAAGGGTCGGACCTTAGAGTGACTGCTGCTTCCTTCATAATTAAGCAGGTGATGGCCCTGCTTGTAATCCACAAGGGAGATTATGAGCGCTCAGGTTTTCAGATGTTGAGATGGGATTTGAAATCAGAAATAACTGCCTCTTCGTTCTGTGTGATCATGGGAAAGCTACTTAGTCTGTTCAGACCTCAGTTTCTTCATCTGTGAAATGTTATAAATCTTAGGGAGCTTCTGTGGAGATTAGGTTAAATTGGATGATGAATCTGAAAAGTTTTATTAAATTCAGTGCCATATATGCACCTATTTTCCATTAATGACCAATTGATGCATTTAGGAGGTTTACATAAAAGTGAAAATATACATTCTGAGAAAGCAAACAAATTCAGTTATTTTTATATTCACATTATCTTTTTAAAAAATCAGTTTCATTATAAAGGGTGATTCTGGGTGAATGGGACATAGGTAGAGGCATTTCTTTGGTTGGGATAGGTGGGAAGCAGGAGAAGAATAAAAAGTCAGGAGCCAAAGCCTTATTTAATGGAGGCTCTGAAAAGCCAGCCAATGTGACGGCCATAGGCTGGGGCAGGGGGAAGAGGATGAAGCAGTTGATCATGTCACTGTGTGTGGCCCAGGGCTGTCTTTCTGCAGGTGACTGAGCAACTTCAGGTGGTCTTTCTCAGTCACTGGGCTTTCAGGTTGCTAATATCAAAATTACTGTGGTGACCCAGGAACTTATAGATCTTATAGTTGTCAGATAATGGAGCCTGGCATCCCAGCAGCAGGAACATTGAGGGGGAGGAAGACTGAAATGAGTTTTAATGGACCTCTTTCTCTTCCAATTATGTTTCACACACCTGTGACTTTTGTCTGGAGAGATGAGGCTAGGTTACATCTTACATTTTCAATTTCAGAGAGAAGCAAATGGAAATTATTAGGGTGATTTTTCCTTTACATACAGGGCAACTCCCAAATCAGACAAATGCGAGTATCAGGTAAGAGCAACTATTATGGCATCTATTCTATATTTTATACCTTTCTTTCCAAAAGATCAAATCAGTGTTAATAAAATCATAAAATCTTAGGATTTTTTTTTGAGGCAGGGTTTTGCTCTGTCACCCAGACTGGAGTGCAGTGCATGATCAGAGCTCACTGCAGCCTCAAACTCCTGGGCTCAGGCGATCCTCCTGCCTCAGCCCCCCAAGTAGCTGGGACTAGAGGCATAAGCCAGCATACTTGGCTAAGGTTATTTTTTGGAGAGATGGGGTTTTGCTATGTTGCTCAGGCTTGTCTCAAACTCCTGAGCTCAAGTTATCCTCCTGCCTTGTCCTCCCAAAGTACTGGGATTATAGCCACCATGCCCAGCCAAAACCTTAGGATTTAAAAATAAATTAAACATTTTCTATCTTCTATACATATTTAAACCATTCTAAACAAAAATGAAATTCTCTTGCATATGGAAGGAGATTCCCAGTGTCCCTGGAAAACCCACTTCAATATTTTGCCAGTCTTCCCATTGCATATTTAGCTTTAACTGGTATTGATTTTTCCCTAAATGAAGACAGAGACTAGTTTATTGCCACACTTCCTGTGGATAACACTTTGTGTCATATTCATATTTGCATTCCTATCACTTACCATTGTCCTTGGCACCAGGCAAGTATTCAATTAGTGTTGTCGAATGAATGAAAAAGTACATGAATGAATGAATAATTTTTGCTTCTAATTTACTCCATTGGTATGTTTCCTTTTTAGTCAGAATAATTCTAGTTCTTTAATGTTTCATGAAGAATCTGCCTCCTTTTTGAATACCTGAATCTTGCAGGTTCTTTACTCAATCCTCTCTAAGTTTTTCATGTTTCTCTTTGGTTTGAAGTCCAGAATTGAAGACGACTGAAGTCTATCAGGTAAAAATGCTAAAACTCTCCTTCATTTATAGAATAGAGTAAAAAGCTTCAGGTTTTAGGAGTTTGTGCTATAACTGACTCAGGTCTAGCCTGTGAGAGGCTTTGAGCCTTGAAATGTTTAAGATGAACAGGATTGAAGTGGTTTTGTTCTTTTGTTTTGGGTCTTGTCAGTTTGTTTGTTTTGATGCATGATGATAACATGGTTAAGGCAGGATTCTTTATCTCTTAGAAATACTCAAGTATTTAAATATGGAAAGTTATGCTGTCTAGAATTTGTTTTAAAAAACATCAGCAGGGAAGAAGAGGTGTGGGAAATTAAAGTGGTAGAGATGAAACAAGATATACTGATATTTACTAAATCTGGATTAATTACATTAATCTCTCTACTTCTGTGAATATATTTTTTCGTAACACAAAGCTAAGAATAATGTGAAAACCACAACCCAGACAGGCAAGGGAGTCATGCCTAACATCTCAGAGCTAGATAATAAAGAAGTTGGATTGGAAGTTCCCACTCTAGTGGAACAACTTCCATTGCCCACTCAAGTGCTCTTTCCAGTAAAACTGTATAC